CATCCGGGCCTGGCCTGGCCTCGCAGCGCTTCCCATCACCTGGCTGTTTCTGGCCTTCAGATGATGGTAAATTCTTGTCGGTGACTGTTCTGGCAGTCCTGCTGTTGCTCCTTTGGCCTCATGTGTTCCTCGAGCAGCAGGAGGAAATGACAGTTACTTCGGCCCAGCTCTAGCAGAAGCAGGACACAAGAGTTTTCTGTTAGCTGGAGCTTCCGATGGATCACCTTTCAGAGCTGTCTCTGTGATGGGTGTCTTGAAAGAACTAAGTGAGCATTGGGACTCAAGGAAAATGCAGGCATTCCTCCAGGATACAGGCTTTCCTTTTCCTTGTCCCACAATTCCTGGCACCCGGGAGGACAGACGGTGTTCAGGTCTGCTCTCTTTTACATGTGAGATCTTTCCTACTGTTCTTTAGCCACTCTGGCCTGCCTCAGGAGAGCATGAGTTTGATTCTGTCCATCTGGTGTGTATTGCCTTTGAGGTAAACAGCTCTAGCAACTGCTGATTTTTTGTGGTATTGCTGTTATTAGGGACATGTGAGAATAGGCTAGAGCAAAAAAATGGGGTTTGAGGCAGTGCCGCCTTCTAGGTCTAATTTTTTCATTCTTGGGCTTTCGCTATAGGTTCAGGGACCTGTTATAGTAGAGGATACCTGCTTGTGTTTCAATGCCCTGGGGGGGCTTCCAGGACCCTACATGTAAGTAGGAGGGACCTTGCTTCACCTTTTTGTGCTCTAGAGTTAAGAGTGCAGGCTGGCAGGGTATGCTTCACAGGGGATTCTCCATGTGCCAGGACCAGTAGGGTCAGGGAGGGGATTACTTATCTGTGTCCTCAGCTTCATCCAGCACCCCAGGGGCTGGACTTAACTCCTTGAGCCCTGCTGCAAGTCATGGTGCAGGACAAGAGAGACAGACCTGAACCATTGGCTCCGGCTTCTCATCTACAGTGCCTGCTCTTGCAGCCAGCTTGGGAATGTGGTGTCACAGCAGGGCTCTGTGTAGTTAAGGCACCACATACTTCAGCAGGACTTTGGGATGAGAGGCCTATAGGTTCTCATAGGGACTGCTTTAATCCAGCAGATTACGAGATTACTAGATTACAGTGTAACCCCACTAATAAAATACTGCCTTAGCTTCCGGAATTAACTTCTAGCATGATTAATTCTTCCAAACTACCTCTGCTGAGCTAAACAGAGACAGAAAAACTTTATATTATGAAGTTGGCACTAGAACTGGGTGTAAGATGTGAATAAATCCTTTTGAGAAATGTATTTTCGCATGTCATTGCTTACAAGTGAGAACCAAGTTATTTACATAGACCCCAGTACTGCAGTAAGTTAAATACCCCCCTGCTGTTTTCACTGTGTCCTATTCAGTTTAAGAGCTGAGTCTGTCATCACTTGTGAATAGTCCAGAAGGTGGTGATTTGACAGCACCTTTAAGAGGGATTCAGAGGGCTTTGAAAATGTATGCAACAATGTCTGTATTTCTCAGCCTGTATTGCTGAAAAATAGCAGCAGAAATGAATCTTTTCTCTTCTTCCCCTTCAGAAAATGGTTCCTGGAAAAACTCCAACCAGAAGGTAGTGCCTCCCATGCTACTGCTCTGCATGTAACTTGGTCCCTTTTCCTCCCAGTGGCTTTGGTGTCATCCCTGGATTCCCAGACTCCTGCCTCCACAGGATGGTGGCAGGGTGTGTGAGAACTTCCTGTGAAGGCCCCTCTCCACTAGTGCTCACCACCCCTGGCATGTGGTGACTGCCCTTGATCCTGCAGTTAAGAGTGTGGCTGCAAATCCCATGCTGGTGTCACGAGCACAAGTCTTAATCACACTGGTTCAGAGTGGGCTTTAGTCCTCTCTGCTGCTGTGCGCTCATCTGCTTCCACTCAAATTAATAGTGGGGCTCTGCTCACTCTGTGTTAGATCTGAGGCCCTGGCTTCAGTCATAGGAGGGACCCAGCCAAGAGCTGTGCCTGAGGTTTGTCACCTCCCGTAGTTTTTCCTCTTTCTTGTGAATGTAGAATGCTTCCTCAGTCCGTCTCTAGGTGGGTGTTTTGCACTCCAAGGGAGAGGCAGTAACACCAGGATCCTTTCTGTGTTGCTCAGGCCTGTACAAGCTGCTGGCTGGGTTTGAAGACAAATCTGCCTACGCTCTCTGCACCTTTGCATTCAGCACTGGAAACCCAGAGGAGCCAGTGAAGCTGTTCAAAGGCCAGACTCATGTAGGTGGTGTGCCTGGGGGAGGCAATGTGCTGAGGGAGGTGGGCTGCAAATACTCTGGCAGCATTGACTCTGTTGAGGACAATTTTAGTGTCCCCTGTGTCACTGAACACCCTCAGAGCTCCTCCGTGTTGGGAACAGGCTGAGGGAGAGGGCAGGTGGTGGGTGTGGAATGCTGCAGCCCTTTTGCACAGCTGTCTGCACCAAACTCTGCATCTTACCATGGTCTCTTCAGCCCCCTTGTCTCCCTCTGGCAGGGTTGTATTTGAGTGCAGATGTTAGTTCTGTTAACTGGGCATAAAGGTGCTGTCAACACAGGGCAGCGTGATGGAATGCTTAGTTTGGAGCTGCTAATTTTGCTCGCATCCTGGGAAGTAGACAGCACCAATGCAGCAAGCCTGTGGTGGCTTCAGTCTGTGTTGGAAGTATGACTGCAAAGCTGCAAAACCATGGCTCATGGGTCTTCTTTACATTTTTGTGGCAGGGGCTAATAGTGGAGCCCAGAGGCCCTCGAGATTTTGGCTGGGATCCCTGCTTTCAACCGGATGGCTACAACCAGACGTGAGTGGTGTTTCACCTACAACTCTTTATTCAAACAAAGCCAGGGTCAAGGCTGTGTGTCAGGAGGAACCTGCTTCTGAAGAAGGGTGGCAGGGGGAAAATGCCCTCCTGGATCTGAGCATGGCATCCAGACAGGGATTGTTTGCTTTGCCAGCCTGACACTACAGGCTGCAGCCAGGCAGGGTGACCTGTGGTGAGCAGAAGGGGTGACAGGGAGGGATGGAACAGGACAGGACAATGACGACCCCTGCTGTAGCATCTCTGGTGCTGAGATTTGTGATTTCTTTCCCCTCCAGCTACGCCGAACTGCCCAAGGCAGTGAAGAACTCCATCTCACACCGTTACAGAGCGCTAAGTGAGCTCTCTGCCTTCTTTCATCAGACCAACTCGACA